AAGACAGACCTGTTTGTTCTCTTGGCAGTCCTTGCATGGTATGTTCAAGACTCTTCTCCAGCATCACAAGCCAGAGGCATCAATTCTTCTATCATCTTTAGTCAATGTCCAGCTCTCTGATGCACAGCAAGGAATTGTGAAGACCATGGCTTGGATCAGGTGCCCCTTAGTCTCTAGACTGACATTTCTTAGTACTCTGGAGAGGTCCTTGACTGCATGCACATTTTCCCAGTGCAATTTATCTTTTGATTTCCTGACTGCTAGTGTCAAAAGTGTTGCTTGTGGAGCTGAGCAAGCTGACGTTGTTAACAGCCAAGCCCATCTCCTCACCCCCAAGCAAGAAGTGGCTGAGACGACACTTATCATGGCTCCTCCAGCCCCCAGCCTGGCCACCAGCTGCTCTGGGGAGGTGGATGAGCTGTTCGACACGAAGAATGCCTTCCACGTCGACAGCTGCCAGCAGTGCATCAGTGAGGCACAGCTAGGGAGGCTGAGTCCAGAGAGCAACGTGGAGCGGGATGTGTTCCTGTACCGAGCGTTCCTTGCACAGAGGTTCCCATGGTGCTGTGTGGGGACCAGCCCTCCTCCATCCCGGTGCTGCGGGCTGTGTGCATGCTCGCTGAGTACCTTGCCAACGAGGGCCAGAGGGATGCGGTCATGGCACACCTGGACCCAGAGATGAGCCACAGCGTGGACCTGCCCAACACCACCTTCCTGTTGATGGCCACTTCCATCTACCTGCATGGCAGGAGCGCCAATGCCGTGCTGCAGGCCCTGCACCAGAGTGACCAACACCACCTTCCTGTTGATGGCCACTTCCATCTACCTGCATGGCAGGAGCGCCAATGCCGTGCTGCAGGCCCTGCACCAGAGTGACCAACACCACCTTCCTGTTGATGGCCACTTCCATCTACCTGCATGGCAGGAGCGCCAATGCCGTGCTGCAGGCCCTGCACCAGAGTGACCAACACCACCTTCCTGTGGATGGCTGCTTCCATCTACCTGCATGATGGGAACATGGACGCCTCACTGTGGGCCCTGCACCAGGGTGATAGCCTCGAGTGCTCGGCCATAGCAGTGTAGATCTTGCTGAAGCTGGACTGCCTGGAAAGAGCTGAAGAAGATGCAGGATGAGGAGGCCCCTCTCATCCAGCTGCCCACTGCCTGAGTCAATCTGACTGCAGGACGTATCCTGTGCTTTCCAGGAGCTGGCCAGCAAGTGCTTGTCCTCCCTGCTACTGCTTAATGGCCAGGCTACCTGCATCGCTGAGAGCCTCTGAGAGGACACCAAGGATGCACTGCAGGAGGCACTTGACGAGGACAGTGGCCACCTGAAGATGCTGATCAACCTCACTGTCCTGTCACAGCACCTAGACAAGCCCCCTGAGGTGACCAACCACACCACCTGTCACAACTGAAGGATTCTCCTAGGTCCCACCCATTCATCAAAGAGTACCAGACAAGGAGAATGACTTTGACCAGGTGGTCCCACGGTACGCTCCCAATGTGTGAGGCAGGCCTGACCCTGACCATATCCATGTGCCCACCCCACCACTTATTGGTCAGACCCTACGAGCCTGGTCCCAGTACCCTCATCTCCCATCAATAAACAGACCTGACTGGGGCACTCCACACAACACCCCCCCAGAAAAGAAAATTATTAACACCTTCAATCTCTTCTCCATCGATCATGGTGCTGCCAGTTGGCCCAGCGCTGAGAATCTTTGTCTTCTTGATGTTGAGCCTCAATCCATATCGAAGACTACAGTCCTTGACTTTCAGCAGTAAGCACTTCAGGTCCTCCTCAGTTTCAGCAAATAAGGTTGTGTCATATTGCAGGTTGTTGACAAGTCTTCCCCTAATCCTAATGCCACATTCCTCCTCATAAAGCCCAGCCTCCTGAATGATCTGTTGCACAAATAGGTTGAAAAGGTATGGAGGTAGGATGCATCCCTGATGCACTCCTTTCTTTATTTGAACCATGCAGTCTTCTTGCTCTGTTCAGAGGACTGCCTCCTAGTCCAAGATTGGGTTTTGCATGAACACAGTCAAGTGTTTTGGTGGGATTCCCATTCTTCCCAATGTTAGCCACAGTTTGTTGTGATCCACATAGTCAGATGCCTTTGCATAGTCAATGAAGCACAGACAGACAGTCCTATGGTACACTTTGCTTTCAGCCAAGATACATGTGACATTGGTGATAATGTTTCTAGTGCTATGAAGATGACCTCTTCTAAATCCAGCTTGTATTTCTGGTAGTTCTCTATCGATGTACTGTTTTCATTGTTTTTTTATAGTCTTCAGCAGGGTTTTGCTTGCATATAATATTAGTGATATTGTTCGATAGTTTCCACACTCTTACCGGGTCACCTTTTTTTGGAATGGGGATAAATATGGATTGCTTCCAGTCAGTTGGCCGGGTTGTTGTCTTCCAGATTTCTTGGTGAGCATGTCCAGGGCAGCATCTGTTTGTTGGAATATGTCAGTTGGTATTCTGTCAATTCCTGGGGCCTTGTTTTTTTGCCAAATCGTTCAGAGCAGACTGCACTTCCTCCTTCACTGCCTCTTGTTCATATGCTGTTTCTTTAAATTCTCCTGTGTCAGCCAATTCTTTTTTGTATGGTGACTCTGTATACTCCTTCCATCTCCTTTTAATGTTTCCTGGATCACTCAATATTCTGCCCTTGGCATCCTTACGTATTAAAGCTAGAGGTTTGAATTTGTTCTTTCAGCATATGAAATCCCGAGTGACTTAGACCCTTTTGATTTTTCAACTCCAGCTCTTTGCACCTTCTTTTATCATACTTTGCTTTGTCTTCTCATGCTGTGCTTTGAAATCTGAACAGAAGTTCAGCTCCTTAACCTCCTGCTTTCTTCCCTTTATTTTGGCTTCTTGGCGCTCTAGTGCAATATTTTGTCTCTTCTACCATCCATCTCGGTCTTGTCTTCCTCTTCTGTCTTTGTAATGACCTTTTGAGTTCTTCATGGATGATAATCTTGATATCCTGCCATGCATAGATCATCTGGTCTTCGTTCATCAGCTGTTCCTGAGATGGTTTTTAAATTCAGCAGGGATAGACTCAAGATCAAATTTTTATTCCTGTGGATTTGATTGAACCTTCTGTAGCTTTAGTTTGAACTTGCATGTGAGTGAGTAGTTGATGGTCTGTTCCACAATCAACACCTGGCCTAGCTGTCCAATAAAAAAGAACAAACTTGATGCTCGAAATAACTTAATGAATCTCAGAGGCATTATACTGAGTGAAAGAAGCTTACGTACCATTTCATTTCATTTGTATGACATTCTTGTAAAATAGAAAAATACAGAACTAAAGGCTGGTGGCTGCCGGGACGAGGAGTAGGAGTGAGTGACCACAAGGTACCACAGGAGGGCATTTTGTGGTGTTGGGACCCTTTAGTATCCCGACTGTTTAACACATGTTAAAAATGCATAAAACTGGGGAGCTCTGGTGGCCTAGTGGCAAGGAGCTGCAACTACAATCCCAGAGGCTCACGGTTCAAATCCACCAGACGCTCTGCCGGGAAAAGGAGGGACAATCTCCTCCTGTACCAGTCAGATCTGATTTGACGGTACACGCACACAAAAATTTAAAAAAAAAAAATTAAATAAATAAATAATATTAAAAAAATATTTTAAAAAAAAATTAAAAAAATGCATAAAACTATATGCTGGAATAGTCAGTTTTACTAGAAGTTAATTTAAAAATAAAAACAAACTCCCACGCCCTACAGAAGTCAGTCCAGGGTGAAAAGCACAGAACTGAAGTGCTAAAACAGACAAATGTGTCCTTAAAGCCATTAAAGTGGGGGGAAAAAGAATCTATGAAGACAGAGTCACCCCCTGTCAGTATGCAAATAAGCTGAAGATGAGATTTGTCACGAAAGCTAACCGCAGGCTTTTACACCTCTGATTGCAAACGTTCCCTGCGACGGTTTCACAGCCTCTGAAGGCTGTTACTGCTAACTTGGAAGAAGTTGTGCACAAGATTCTTTCTTAACATTTCAACAAAGCTTTTAATCCCAGTTTTATTTATTTTCCTTAAAGCTCAGTTTTGATCCTCCCAGTTATTTCACGGTTTGGTTGACTAGCTGTGTCCTTAGGTGCCACCACAGTGGACCTGGGAACGTCCTTGTGAATGAGGCCCTGGATCAGGGTGTGTGTCTAGGAGTAGATGCTCAGGTTGTACCCCAAGGGGATTCAAGAATATCAGCATCGATACGTGTATACAAGCTGCGAGTGTAAAGTTCTTCCCTGTTAAACAAACAGCCTGGTTAGAGACCCTGAAGGGGGGAATGATGGCAAACACAGCCAAACAGGGTGTTGGCACCAGGGCATAGATAGCAGTGGCATACAGGAGGAGCCCAGGTCCAGCCTCGAGGGCATATTCCTGAAGGAAGACTTTCTGGACGTGGTGATTCCTACTTCAGTTCGGAGACTTGTTAGACGAGGAGGAGAGGAGGGCATATCACATAGAGAGAAAGACAGGGAATGGACAGGACACTACACGCCTGTAGTCCTGGGTGGAGGACAGGGAGGGCTGACGGGAGGACACGGAGCAGAGGGTGGGCATGGCAGGGACGAGGTAGGGGCCAGGGAGTCTCGAGGCTTGGACCTGGCTCACTGAGTCACAGCCACCTGGGAGAAGCTCCCTCGAATGCAGGCTTCCAGGGTCCCTCTGCGCCTGGATCGCTGGGCAGCGTGAGGTTTCCATCCACGCGGGTGTAGAGGGGGAGCCATTACTGGATCTTTAACATCTGGGAGCTCCGCAGTCTCCTCCCTGTTTCTGGCGGAGTGAGTTTGGGGACATCCAAGCACACAAGCCCTCCCTTCCTTTCTGCCCATGTGAGTCTCTTTTCCAGAAGGAAACGGGGCCTGTGGGGGGCAGGGGGTGGTTGGGCTTGCTGGGCTTTTGTGGGAGAAGTAAAGGCAGTGAGGTGGATGACATGGCCCCTCACGGCGTCCTGCTGTCCTTCCCCAGGAGCAGCAGCCAAGCTGGACAGATGACCTGCCGCTCTGCCACCTCTCTGGGGTTGGCTCTGCCTCCAACCGCAGCTACTCCGCCGATGGCCAGGGCACGGAGAGCCATCCGCCTGAGGACAGCTGGCTCAAGTTCAGGTGAGCGTGTCGCCTGCTGTCCTGGCATTGCACTCTGAGAGGTGCCCCCTTTCAGCTGTCTGTCTAGACTTGCCAGTGGTGGCCTCTGCTCTGTCTGGTGGTCACAGGGGGCCTGAGTGGGTGCCTGGCACTGCAGTGTCTCTCCCTTCATTCCCCTTCCACTGTCGGCTCTCAGCCCCTCCACCCTCTCCCTGCAGGAGTGAGAACAACTGCTTTCTCTATGGAGTTTTCAACGGCTACGATGGCAACCGGGTGACCAGCTTCGTGGCCCAGCGGCTGTCGGCAGAGCTCCTGCTGGGCCAGCTCAGCGCAGAGCACACGGAGGCTGATGTCCGACGGGTGCTGCTGCAGGTTGTGATCCTGGGGCAGGTGGCTGGGGCACAGGCCCTGGGGGTCATGATCCTGGGGCAGGTGGCTGGGGCACAGGCCCTGGGGGTCATGGTCCTGGGTCAGGTGACCCAGGAGCGCATGCTGCCCTGGTTGTGGTCCAGGGATGGGTGACCAGGAACACAGGCCCTGTGGTTCTCAACTGTGGGGTTTCAGAAGATCCTCTACATTGACAAAGGGCCAGTTCTGGGGTGTGGGCCAGTTCTAGGGTGCGGGCCAGGGAAGCAGTCCTTCCCATGGCTACAGGGTGGGCCTGAGGGGTCCCTGCTGGAGAGAGAACTTGGTGCTATGACTTTGAACAGAGATGTCCAGTTCTGTAGGACAGAGTAGAACTGCCCCATGGTGTTTCAACACTAAATCTTTATGGAAAAAATCTTTCTCCTATGGGGTGGATGGTGGATTCAAACTGCCAACCTTTCAGTTGGCAGCCAAGTCCTAAACCACAGCAGGGCTCCCTGGAGAGTAGGGCCAAGCATTGGTAGGAACAGGGTCCTAGAGAATATTCTTTCTGTGGTGCAGGTACTCGGCCTCAGGTGCCCAGAGCTTCCCTGGGCCTTGGGGAACAGGCCTCTAGGCCAAGCCTCTCATTCTTTTTTCCTTGTTTAAATCTTGGTTTTTGTCATTGTTGAGGATATGCACAGCAAAACATGCACACTTTCAGTAGTTTCTCAGTTGATTTTGTGGTGATTACTTCCACAGTGTAAGTCATCGTACTCACCCCCTTTTTCTGAGTTCTTCCTCCATTAGCATAATTTCACCAGTCCCTAAGATTCCTCTTGATAGGGAGCTCTAGTCCTGGTAAGGAGCGGCACAGCCAACCCAAAGGTACACAGTTCAAATCTACCAGCTTCTCTGCAGAAGAAGAATGGACTCCTTTTATATGATTTCTTGTCACTGAAACCCTCTCGGTGGGTCATCTATGGGTCGGTTCCGACTCAAGGGTGCACCACAATAGAGTATAATGTTCAAGGCGGCCTTTTCCACTAGTTAAGTTAAATTGTTGTTCAGTATTAAGATGACTGTGTGATATTTTTGGCTTTCAGATCATTTCAGGACACTAGTTTCTGGGGCTCATCCTCCCTGCATGGCTCCAGAAAGTCTGGAGTCCGTGAGACAGATTGTATGCCGCATTTCCCTCTTTTTGATCAGGATTCTTCTGTGGAGTCTTTGATCTGGATGTTTGGTGCTGATGCTCAGCGCCGTCCAGCTCTTCTGATCCCAAAGGACCCGCAGTCGAGGCAGTTGGTGGAGCACGTTCCCTGCGCTCCAATTCTGATGTCTCCCCTTCCTCCGGTGTCCAGTGAATGGGGACTGGCTGCTGTGTTCAGATGGCCACTTGCGAGCTTCTCATACTCCAGACACTTGTCCCACTGCCCATGGGCCAGTGTCCTGCTGTGCCCATTTCACTTGCTGTAGTCTCTTTGTCCTCACTGGCTTTTAGAAGGACCCTGGGGGCTCGTTAGATTTGGATGAGGAGGGTGGATCCGTGGCCTTGGGAACAGCTCCCCATGCTTCCTTCTGCCTTATCATCCGTGTGCCCACCCTAGCCTCACTCCCCGTCACACACCTGGGGGCAGGTGTCTGCCTCACCTCTTTCTGAAGACCCATCCGCAGAGGACCTGATAGAGTGGCCCTAAGACGGCATCATGGGGGTGACACTGGGCTGGGTGCCCTTCCGGGTGCTGGAGGCTGAGTGTCTTACCCCACCCTCAGAACAGCACTTACCAGTGCTTCACAGATGCAGGGACGGAGCTGGGCTTCACCCCCAGGGTCCTGATCCCACACCTGTGCACTTAACCACCTACCGCCTGTTACCTCCTTCTCCCAGCCCTGCAGGCCGGGGTTGTCAGATGGTCTAGAGGGAGCAGCAGGTGCCAGCAGTGCCCAGCGGGAGGCAGCACTCACATGCGTGAAGCCGTGTCACCAGAAGACCTGCAGCCAACACTGTCACAGCAGCAGGTGACAGCCTCTCTGACGTAGCTCCTGTCCCTTGTCCCACCAGGCCTTCGATGTGGTGGAGCGGAGCTTCCTGGAGTCCATCGACGACGCTCTGGCTGAGAAGGCCAGCCTCCAATCTCAGCTGCCTGAGGTACTGTCCCACCTGCATGTGGGGGGCCAGGCAGAGCCAGCTTCCTGGGGAGCGGGAGCTGTCGTGTGGCCCCAGATAATTGGCACAACTGAGCAAACAGTAGGGGTTCTTGAGGAGGTGGTATTAGTGGGTGTTGATGGGTGTGACTCCTGAGGGGCCTCCTGGTGGGTGTTGAGAGATTTGACTCCTGTTGGGTGTTGAGGGGTGTGCTTTCTGATGGGCCTCCTGGTGGGTGTTGATGGGTGTGACTCCTGAGGGGCCTCCTGGTGGGTGTTGAGGGGTGTGATTCCTGTTGGGTGTTGAGAAATGTGCCCTCTGAGGGCATTTGCCGGGTTACAGGCTGACACTCAGCATGGGGTTGGCAGTGAAAGGGTGAGAATGGCTTCTCCAGGTCAGCACTGCTCCTGATGTCAGCCCATAGCCTTGTCACCTCTCCTGCTTGGACTTGAAGAGCTGAGCTCAGTACTCAGCCCATTAGCATCCTGCCTGGCTTTTCTGACAGAATTGCCCTGAAGGCGCTGACTCCCCACCACTGTACCATGGAGGGTGGTCCTGCAGACCCTCAGCCCTTGGCTCATCTGGAGAGGGTGGTCCTGCCCTGACTCCCTCCAGTGTTGACTCCAGGGAATCCCTCAGCTCCTGGGTCTTCTTGTTGGGGGTAGCTTGTCTGAGGACCGAGCCCGTCCTGCCCTGACCCCTCTGGTGCTGGCTGCAGGGCGTCCCCCAGCACCAGCTGCCCCCTCAGTATCAGAAGATCCTCGAGAGGCTCAGGACGTTGGAGAGGGAGATTTCCGGAGGGGCCATGGCCGTGGTGGCGGTCCTTCTCAACAGCAGGCTTTATGTGGCCAACGTCGGTGAGCCTGGGTCCTCATGGGGGGGGGGGGTGTCTGCTTTCCAGACGTCCTGTGCGAGCAAGTGGGGTGTTTCCCTCTGAGTCTGCAGATACGTCACCTGGGGCTGGTGGAGGCCCTCACTGGGTGAGCCCCACTGGCTCCTCTGTGCCCACTCAGCACCCCCAGGCGTATAGCCAGGCAGAAGCTGCCTGAGTCAGAGCCCGAGAGTACAGATTCCGGGGTACAGTGGTTACCACCGAGGACCAGACAGCTCCAGGGTGTGGGTCACTGCTGGGAGTGTCACACCCTCTCTCCTCCCCCTTTCCTTAAAATTTTGTTGTGGAAATTTTTAAAGAATCTAACAAAATCAAATGAGTCATGTTTGATGAGCGCCGTGTGCTGTCCTGTAACTCAGGATGACCTGGTCAAGCTCATTTCCTCAGAACACACACTCACTTCTGTGTCCCCAAGTTGTTTGGAAGTAAATCCCAGCCATGACGTCATGTTATTTGTAAATATTTAGTGTCTTCCTCAGAAAAAAGACTCTTTTTTAAAAATTTTAGTTCTTTTTTATTAATTTTAATGAAAGTTTAGAGACTTAGGGTTTCCATTCATTCATTGTTGCGCTTTTCTCCCTGCCCACCCCTCCCCCCAATTCATTCTTCTCCTTGAAAAGGAAAAGAAAAATTCTTTCATTGTTATGCAATCCCTCCCCTCAAGTCCACTCCACTGTGCGGCCTTCATTCTGGACTCCTGTCATGACAATAATATCCAATCATATATCCCTTTTAAACAGTTCTCTCCCTCATCTGTTTCAATGCAGTGTAGATCATTCCTCCCCTCCTTCTCTGTCTTCCCTCATGCATAGGGCCACTGTTGTAAAACAGGACTGACATCGGGGTTGAGGGAAAAAGACTCTGTTACCGTCATGAGCATGCTTAAAATGTCATCTAATCCTTAACAGCCCCCGACAGGGGACTCATCCCAGTGGTCTAGGCCTGTTTCCTTTGCTTTTTTCCAGTATTTCCATGTGTGTGTGGGGGGGGGGCTCTCTCCTCCCTTCTTCTCTGAGGGTTTCATCTTCTATGTGGTTGTTGCTCAGCTGCTCACATTTGGCTGCAGGTACGAACCGGGCGCTGTTATGCAAGTCGACGGTGGACGGGCTGCAGGTGACGCAGCTGAATGTGGACCACACCACGGAGAACGAGGACGAGCTCTTCCGCCTCTCGCAGCTGGGTGAGTCGCTGGGAGGCCAGCCTCGGAGGGCTCGCCCCATCTCCTCGCTTGGTGCCCACGTAGAGAGAGGTGTGTCGAGAAGGCCGCGGCCCCCGGTCTCCGTTTCTCCATCCTTGTGATGAGAACGATGATTCCTGGCTCAGGAAGTTGTGAGGATTGAGAGTCAAACATGCAAGACGCTTCCGAGTCCCTGGCCCACAGGAGGTGCTCACGGTTGGTGGTGGGTTGGTGGTGGGCGCTGAGCAGAGGCCAGCCAGGTCCTGGGCTTCCATCCACCGTGCCTTAACTCTTTCCTCTCCCTGTGCGAGTTTTCCTGCGACTGTTGTTACAGATTTTCCACAGCTTTGACTTCTAGTCATAACCTGCTCTCCAGTGGTTCTGGAGAGAGTGTCAGCGAGGCTGGTTCCTTCTGGGCTCTGAGGGAGAGTCCACTCCTGGCTTCTCTCTCCTGGTGGCTGCTGGCCATCCTTGACGTTCTTTGGCTCACGGCTGTGGCACTCAAGTCTCTGCCTCTGCTCAGCTGGCTTTGTCCTTGTGTCTGTGTCCCTCATAAAGACACCAGCCATGGTCACTGGGTTTGGGACTCATTCTACGCCTATGCTCCAATTTGGAGATCCTTAACTTGATAACATCTACAAAGGCTCTATTTCCATTTCCAAGTAAGGGCACATTCATGGATTCTGAGGATTAGGACTTGGATATGTCAACCCTCTTCCCTTCCCTTCCCAGCCTACTCCCTGGGCAGGCAGTGAGAGCAGAACTCAGATGGTTCTGTGGGAGAGGGCTAGGGTGGGCCGGGCCAGGCTGGAGCATTCCCAGAGGAAGGGTGGTGAGTGAATGCAGAGGGACCGAGGATATGGGGGACTTCAGGTCAGCCTTTCTCCAGGACGCACTCGAGTGGGCTTCCTGTGCTGTTCAGTGGAGGGGTCTCACTGCCCTTGTGCAGGAGGGATGGGTTTTTGAGTTGTTCTCCCTCTGGTAGGTTTGGACGCAGGAAAGATCAAGCAAGTGGGGATCATCTGTGGGCAGGAGAGCACCAGGCGTATCGGGGACTACAAGGTCAAGTACGGCTACACTGACATTGAACTACTCAGGTAAGTGGCTGGCGCAGAGTAGAAGTTAGATCCCAGTGAGGTCAGAAGTGCAGTGGACAGTCAGAGCCCAAAGAGACACCGGGTGGAGAAGCAGGTCCTGAATCCTGCAGTTGGGGTCCTGTAGAACTTGGGGTCCTATGATGTGGTGTTGAATTAGATGTTTGGACCATAAGTAAAGTAGTTAACACCACAGGGCCTGGCAGGATGGGCAGAGTTGGCATGAGCTTCTGGGTATGGACAGGGACCTATGGATGACCATCCGCTGCTGGGGCCAGGAAGGAGGCATGAGGTGACGTGCCCTGTGTTAGGGACTTCGGTTGTGTTTGTGTGGCACTGTCCACACACTTTCTTCCTTTCCTCACTGGGGCCTATGACCTGCTGCTGCTCCCGCCCTGGAGGCATTTACATATGAGGAAGCAGAAGCCAGGGAGACAGGAACAGTCGCCACTGGCAGCTGAGGCCACAGAACTTCCGCCCTTGGGCACTGATTTCCCTGTGTGTGAGGTTCTCAGCTCCAGGCAGTCAGTAAGGTCATGGCCAGAGCTGAAGAAATCTCGCCAGAGTCCAGCAGTAGCTGCCAGACCTCGTGCCTTAGAAAGTGCACTTTGGAACTCCTTATCCGCATGAGACTGAGGCAGCTGCATCTTGCCCCTACTTTGTGGGCTTCTGTTTGCCTTCTTGCAAAGTAATCACTATGTTCTAAAACAGTCCTGTTGACACCCAGTGTATGCGTTGAGAAGTGAGCCGTCTGTCTGGCCCACACCAGGCCTCCTTCCCCAGAACCTTCTGCCCTGCTCCATTTCTGTGCACGGGCACACTGACCCCTCTCTGTGTCTGTGTGTTGGCGGGAAATTGACCCCCTTTTCGGACACCTACAGGTGGCTAGCACAGCGCTCCTTTGTTTTTTGCACCTCCCTTGTTCATTACAACGCCCCTCCTCTGTAGCTGCTCGTTCTGACCCTGGCCGATGTCATTCTGTGTACCAGCTGTCTGGGTGACACTGCAGAGCGGGGGCAGCATCTTTCCACTCAGCCCTGCCGGGCCCCACATGGCCACTCCCAGGCCCTGCTCTCTGAACTCAGGTTGCTGTGAATGGTGGTGTTAACGCTGCTTGCGTACTTGTTTTTTACGCAGCTGTGTTGATGTTACGCGTGTACCATCTCTGTATGCACATAGAACTCTTCCATATCCCGTGTCTCTTCCTACCACAGCCGTAAGTGGCTTGTGCAGAGACACAGCATGTGTTGGGGTTCTTCCTTGACTGGCCATCTGTTTGAAGACCCAAGTGATAGGAAGCAGCCCTGGCAGCACAGGGCATAGCACAGTGGGCTCTAACCGAGAGGTTGCCAGTTTAAATCCACTAGCCAGTCTGCAAGAGAAAGGGGGGCCGTTTCCTCCCACATTTATAGCCTCAGAAACCTGAGGAGGGTCACTGGGTTGGAATGGACTTGTCAGCAGTGGTTTAAACAACAGCAAGACGAGTGAGCTCCCCACCACCACCACTGGCCTCTGTGGACAGAAGATGGGGAACTTAGGCTGAAATTGGACCCTTGACCTGTGTTGTCCTGACCCCACGGTTCTCTGATGCTGCCGTGTGTTAAGACTTAAGTCTGCTAATCCAGAGGTCGGCAGCCCCTTCGAGGAAGGATGAGGCCGTCTGCTCCCAGAAAGACTAACAGACTAAAAACCAACGGGGTGGTTGTGTTCTGTCCTGTAGGATCCCTAGGGGTCAGAGTCAACTCGATGGCAGTGGGGTTTTGGGGTGGGGGAGCAAGGAGGTGTTTGGTGCCAACTCCTGGCTCTCTGCCAGCTTTCCTGGTCCTCTGAGCTTCATTTTTTTTAACTCCGCCCAGAAGATACATCTGTGTTGCTCCTTCCTTCCTTCTTGTCAGGGTGTGTGCTGTTACCTTATATACTAGGGGCAGAGTCTTCCCTCAGATGAATGGAAGTGCTCCAGGGACCAAGCTCTCCCCTCCACTCTCTCCCTCTAGCGCTGCCAAGTCCAAACCCATCATCGCAGAGCCCGAAGTGCATGGGGGCCAGCCCCTGGACGGGGTCACCGGCTTCCTGGTGCTCATGTCTGAGGGGCTCTACAAGGCGCTCGAAGCAGCCCACGGGCCGGGGCAGGCCAACCAGGTGAGTGGGGCCTGGGGGCGGGAGCTGCAGTGCTGGGCGGCTGCCCCCGGGTGAGGCCCCACACTCATCCTCCTGCTCAGCTCTGAAGGCCTCAGGCTCTCAAGTACCGATCTCCAAGGTGGGGGAAGAAAAGGCCCAGAAGTCTCAGACCTTTTCATCCCAAACAACTGTGCAGATTCTGGGCTTGAAGCAGCGTTCGGCCCGGGGCAAGGCTGGAAGGGAAGTGAGGTGGCAGTGAATTTCCACAGCACTGCTCTGGGAATGCCTGGGGAGGGGCCTGGGCCAAAGATGAAAGCTGAGATAGGCCGAGGAGGGCAGGGAGGACACAAACAGAGGCCCAGGTCCACTCCTTCCTGGCGGGGCCCTCAGGCCTTCGTTTCCCCTCTGGGAGCTGCTGAGAACTTACACTTGGTTCTCTCCTCAGATGGGACTTTTGTGGAGGTCACTATAGTAAATGGGGTTTCCAGACGTCTCTGAGCGTACGTGTCAGACCACACTAATGTGAGATAGACTTACGGGGACAATTTGAAGGGAGGCTGTCTTTACCTGACCATGGCCTGATGGATCAATAAGACAGCCACACAGAGTCCTCTAACTCTGCTTTCAGGGGAGCCTTTTCTGTTGTGGAGGGGGAGGAATCTCCCCTCTGATGCCTGTGTTAAGGATTTGCACCAGTTTTATCATTATTTCCACGAGCCTTGTAACACAGAGTGCAGGGCTCACTCCCACGGCCAGGTATGACCCTGAGTTCACACAGCCAGCTGGTGATGGAGCTGGCCCCCTCCCTCCTGAGTCCCAGCGCCGGGTCTCGTTGGCTTGCCACTGCCTGCCCCGGCCCTTCTGTCCCTGAGACACTGTTGTCAGCTGGCACGTGAGAGGATTTTGTGTGTGTACTTTTGATCATTTCATCAATGTGGTGTGAGAAGAGAGGAACCTTCGTGATTGGCTTATACACTCACTTCTGCTGAGTTCTAGAATATACTGGACAGAGCACTTCTCTGAGAGGAGGAGCCTGTCTTCATTCTTATATCCCTGACTCCTGATACGCCTTGCACATACAGCTTATAATAGGCTTGTTCCAGGAAAGAAAGCTTAATACGAATAATTTATACCCAGGTCTTTAGCTTCCGAAGTGCTCTCCCAGCTGTGATGTTGTGTAATCCTCTTACTAACGCAGCGAGGTGGATACGATCCCCATTTTAGAGATGAGGAAGCCAACAGTCAGAGCGATTGCTCTGTCACACAGCTTTTGTGATGAGAAAGTTCCAGAAGGATTAAGCCGAATACCTTAAAAAGCTCAGATTGCAGGCTTGGCATGCAGGGACTTCCTTCACCTGGTTGGCCTGTGACCTTGAGCGTTCTGTGTAGGGCTCAGGACCCTCACAGGCTCCCGCTCTCGCCTGCCTCAGGAGATCGCAGCCATGATCGACACTGAGTTCGCCAAGCAGACCTCCCTGGACGCCGTGGCCCAGGCCGTGGTGGACCGCGTGAAGCGTATCCACAGCGACACCTTCGCCAGTGGTGGCGAGCGTGCCAAGTTCTGCCCGCGGCATGAGGACATGACCCTGCTGGTGAGGAACTTTGGCTACCCACTGGGCGAAATGAGCCAGTCCACACCGACCCCGTCCCCAGGTATGCGTGCGGACCCAGGCAGCCACCGGGGAGCTCCGCCCGGGCTGCGGGCAGGAGCCGAGCAGGCCTCACGGACCAGGACAAGTGGGGCTCACAGCTCTGGGTCTGAGGGTTCCAGTCTGTGCCTGGATTTAGCAGCACTCTGAGCTGCACTTTCTTTGTAAAGCGGGACTACTACCTGCCCTGGCACCTCCACACCCACACCGTGTACCTGTGTGCACAGGTGAGTCACATGGGGCGGGGCGTCTGCCCCACCCAGGTGTCCTCTGGTGCCCCGACTTGGAGCTAGCCCTAAAGACACCTAGTTCCCTCACTTTACAGAACAGGAAACTGAGGTGGCCAGCCCCCCGATCCTTGGGGGCCTCCGTCCCTGGGCCACGTGGGGACAGGGGGAGCTGTCTTCATTCTCAGGTCACTCCATTTCTGGCAGTGTGTGGTGGTGGTGCTCCTCCCCTGCGGCCTCAGCCCGGATCTTCCGTTCCCAGGGCCGCATTTCTTTTGCTTTTAAAATAAGCAAACCTTAGTGCCCTAGCATCACAGATGGACTTTGTTCTTCCCCAGACAGCGGGTCACGGCGTTCCTCTGGCTGGCTGTTGTTGTAACTGTGTTTTTATTAGGCTAGCCTCGACTCGAGCACACATGGCTCCTGGACCAAGGCCTCCCCGGGATGACAGGCGGTGACCTTCTTTCTGGGAGGCCGCTTGGGCCCTTGGGTCTCACTGCTCTGGGCACCGGTGAAATGAGGCCTCTGCTTGGCCCAGAGCTTCACCGACGATTCTTTGGAATAAATCCAAGGAGCAGAGGGCTGAGCTGGGGGTGGGAATCGAGGCAGGGCCACCCCTGACCCCTGAACCCCTCAGACCCTGGAGCAGCCCAGCCCCCTGTGCCTGGTGCCCACCACGCCCTCTCCTGTGAAGCTGCAGGAGGCCGAGTGTACCCCGTGTCCGTGCCCTACTCCAGCGCTCAGAGCACCAGCAAGACCAGCGTGACGCTGTCACTCGTCATGCCCTCCCAGGGCCAGATGGTCAACGGGGCCCACAGCGCGTCCACCCTTGACGAAGCCACACCCACCCTCACCAAGTAAGTCCTCCACCCCACCTTGTCACTCAGGGTCATGGGGACAGCGCTCTGGGCCTGGGCAGGGTAGCCACGTTCTGTGACTGAGAAGTCTTGATGAGCTGCCCTGGTTCATGTTCCCTCAAGTCCCCACCTCCCTGCCGAGTGAGGGATGTCTCCAGAGGGACGGGGCACGAAGGGACAGCTCCGAAGCTGGCTCCAGCAGCTCAGGAAAGCCTGGCCTGAAATGGGCTGGAGGTTGGGGGACTGACTAGGTGTGAGGGGTGTTGTCTCCTCAGCTGGGTGACATGACACAGCCTGCTGATTACCCATCCTCTTGTGTGACTGCGTGAGGTTCCTACGCTGTGATCTTTGTGGGAAGCGATCATCAGCTCTTTTCTCCCATGGAGCCACTGGGTGAGGTCAAACTGTTGACCTTTTCATTAGCAGTCAAGTCTTGACCCTTTGATTAGGCCTGTTGTGTACCATGGGGTCATCTGTGGGACAGCGTGTAGCTGCCCAGTCAGAGACCCACGTGCCCTCCTCCTTTCCTTCTCCCTGCTCTCTGTGCAGTACGGTGTGGGGATCTCTCCTCACTGGCCACCGCACTCTGGGCCTGCATGGGCTTGTCTTGAGTCGGAGCTTTCTCCCAAAAACAGCCCTTCTGCTCTGACATTCTCTAGTTTAAGACCTTGGCATGGGGGAGGGGAGGCAGCAGGGGGTCTAGATGGAGCCTGGGGTGGGGGCTGGCAGCCCCCAGCTGCAGACCTGCCTGACAGCCTTGGAGTCCTCTCATCCCTCCCTTTTGTGGAATGTTTGCCCCAGCACCCCAGGGGGCAGGATCTGGTTTCAGCATTCCAGGCCTGCACAGAATAATAGGGATGCCACACCCAGCCCACTCGGATGGAGCCGGCAGGATGCGGCCAATCGGAGGCGCCAGGAGGGAGGGAGTGGCCCTGTCTCCTCCCCAGCGCCAGGGGGCCTTCCTGTCTCCCTACCCCCATGGCAGTGCTGCTGCTGTGGCCACCTTGGGCTGAAGAGCCTGCCGGGCAGTTGAGGGAATGAGCACCCACCTCACAGTGAGCTGGCCTCTCAACCCTGGAGGACTGCCCAGAGGAGGCCACCAGCTGTGTCCACAAAGGCAGAGGGTGAGAGCTGTGGTTCCTGACAGAGCAGGAAGTCAGCCAGCTAGCTCTGCCTTTCCCTGGTTCCTGAACAGCCTCTTGCCTCAATCCAGCAAGTGTCCATCCCACAGTGGGTTGGGCCCTCTGCCAGGTTCCAGGCAGGGCTCCCTGCTGGGCCCCCTGCTAGGTCCCAGGCTGGGCCCACTTCTAGGTCCTAGGCTGGGCTTGTAGCAAACAGGCAGTGCCCTATGAGAGAGGGAGTTCCAGCTGTGAGTACTTTGGGACAGGGGTGTTCATACTGTAGAGAGCATTGGGCCCAGAGAGCACAGGTCTCTGGGAGAAGGGCCCTTGCCCACCGGTGACAAGTGGATTTCGTTTGGGGCGGAGCGTGGTGGATGTCCCCTTACTCAGGGCTGTCCGTGGAACTTTCCCTGAAAAGGAGGCGTGTTTCCATGTGGACGCTGTCCACACGTGAGCTGCTCGCCACTGGAGAGCTGCGCCTGGGTTTTCCATTTCATTTCTCAAGCTGCCACACGTATTTGCTGTTTAAACGTTTGACTTTTCTGCCATTTTTAAGAACAGCTAGCCACCAGCTTCTGTGGTCACCGTTGCCCCAGGCTGGCGACAAAGAAGGCGAATGGAGGAAGTGGGGGCCCTCTGACTCTGCCCTCTCCCCCACAGCCAGAGCCCGACCCTGACCCTGCAGTCCACCAACACGCACACCCAGAGCAGTAGCTCCAGCTCAGATGGAGGCCTCTTCCGCTCACGGCCAGCTCACTCCCTCCCACCGGGTGAAGACGGCCGAGTGGAGCCTTACGTGGACTTTGCAGAGTTTTATCGCCTCTGGAGCGTGGACCACGGTGAACAGAGCGTGATGACAGCTCCGTAGCTCCAACGGACAGCACAGCCTGCCCTGGACCTTGCAAGGCAGGGCTGGGGCCCAGCGCCAGGCAGGAGGGACTTTCAGCCTTTTCCTGTGTTTGCCTGCGCAGTCAGGGTCCCAGTCCTCGCCTGCACTGGCCTCTGACCCACTACTCTGAGAGGAAGGGACTGAAGGGTGCAGATGTCCGTCACGTGCACCTGGCCTGCAAGAGACAGAGGCTGGCTTTCCTCATGGACATCTTCAGCCAGGATGCCCCTCCTCAGAGGAAGGGCCTGATGCTGGTCTGCACGCGCACCAAGGGTTCCTGTAGCCCCTGGGGCAGCCCCTGAGCCCCTCAGCTGTGCCGGATCTTCCTGTGACCCCCTGCTGCAGGTTCAGCAGGTGCTGCTTTCCCTATCACCCCCTTCCCTGGGATGGCCCTGGGGAGCCCTGTGGTCAGCTCCTTGTCCTCCAGTCTCTTCGCCCTGTGCTCCCCAATCCAGAGTGGATCATGGGCTTGCACCTACGCCTTCAAAGCCTGGACACCCCCTCCCACCCCGGGGCCTGCAGAACTGTTGCCAGTGCCACATCCTCCAAAGACCAGGGACCTGGGGCAGCTGCAGAGGGGACAGTCAGGTGGGAAGGCACTCTGGGGACTGGTCCAGCGGAGGCCAGACTTGCAGAGCCCAAGATGGAGAGTGGCAGGAGTGGGTGTAGAGCCCAGGGAGGGGGTTCACATGGAGCAGGGGGCCTCCCCAAGTCTGCCGACCCGTGTCTGCTTTACCTTCTCCTCCTCGGCACTGGGAGGGTCCCAGCCCGGGAGCAGCCAGGCTGACCACGGCTGTGGAGCCCACGGGCCCAAGGCCACGCGCAGAGTGAATGGTGCCTGAGGGGTCAGTCTGTCCCTGTCCAGAGCAAAGAAAAGGGAAGATTGAAGTCATCAAAGCATTCAGTCCAGGGGACTAAGAGTCCGCACCACGCCCCGTACCCACCACCCCAGACCAGAACCAGCTGGTGCTGGCTGCCCGCTAAGTGCCCTGCAGCCGAGAATGAGAGAGAAATGTGGACCAGAACTCAGTCCTGAAAACAGACTTACTGTCTGCCTGACAGGAACCCCCTGAGACCTCGATCCTTGGACACCCTTCAACCGGGAACAACAGATGTTCCAGTACGGTGAACAGCTACGCCAGGGAGGTCCTCCTCCTGACCTCTGTCCCCTGGAGGAGCGTGAACGAGCTCCCTCACTCGGAGGGAGGACACAGGCTGGGAGAAGGGTGAAGGGAATGGGGGAATATGGAGAGGTGGTGGAAGACCCCCAGGTCACAGAACCAAGTGTGTATGAATTGTGTGCAAAACCAACTCGCCCTATAAACTTTGACCCAAATAAAGATTTTTGAAGTCAAAGCAAAGGTTGTGCACTGGGCTAGGTGAAGGGAGGTTGAACAGGAAGTGGCTCCTTGAGGCCTCCTCTGTGTGAGGTCTGGGCTTCGGGATGGAGCTATTTCCCAACCACTTGAGAAGCCAGCTGGCCCAGCCCGGTGGAGGCCATATTCCTAGATTTCTGTCTCGGGCCTGGGCTGTGCCCTTTAGAGGAAGGGGCTGGTTCAGGGAGGGGGAACTGCCCTCCATCTCAAGCTGGTGGGCAGAGTTCAGACCTTCAGCTTTGTCATTGTCCCCTCTGGTCCCTGCCACCTTTCCCCACCCTCTGCTCCTCCCCACACACCCCCTGTCCCCCAGCTCCTTGGACCTGCTGGTCTCCAGAATTCTGGCTCTCAGGTGAAAGCAGGCTCACCTCAGCACAGGAATCTGAGATTCTGTGCAGGGCAAGGGTCCAGGGTTGCACCATGGGATCAGAAGGAGGGGTTCCTGAGAGACCCCATTATGATGGTGAGGAGGAGACTCTCAGCAGATGGCCCCCAAACCCCCTACCCTGGGTCGCCATCTCTGCCTGCAGGTGAGTGCATTGAAAGTCACCGCCAAAGAGGCTTGGGAACAAAGGGAATTCTCTTCCAAGAACGGCTGGAGGAGGCTGTCTGGTCTCCAGAAATAGAATCGCTTTCTGAATGCAGTAAAGAGAGAAAGTGTGTGTTGGTAGGATATGTGTTCAGTGGTGCTTCAACTGAACTCCGAGAGACCCTGAGGAATGAAAGCTTCCTATCCTCCGGGTGGGAGTAGGAGCAGGTAAAATTATGAGGTCACCAGACCAAGAAGGGGCAGAGCTGGGATTTGAACCTGCTGCCTTCACAGTCCCTGAGGAGAAAACACTGGTGCTTTGGCACCCATCCAGATCTGGCTCAGCCGTCCCTGTGTGCGTGAATAGATTGTTCCCTGCTCGGGGAGGGCAGTGCTTTGTGCCCCCAGTTCTTGTCCATCAGTTCCACAGATGCATCCAGGGTCTTGGCACTGAGTCACCACAGCAACGCTTTGCCCTCTCAACAATCAGTAGAAATGTCTAGTATTGTTTTGCTTACCTTTGTGGGCAGTCTCCTCCTGTGCAGGTCAGCTCCGAAAGTCGGTTCCAGTTCAACGGCAACGGGTTTAACTTCTGTTTTGTTGATTTATCTTGGTTTTGATGGATGAGGAATATTCTTTGAACACTCACTAGTCCACAGAGTACCTCTTCCAGTGTTTTGAGATGTAAGTCTATCACTTTTAACAAGCATCTGCTACTGAAATAGAAACATTGTCTGCTTAGGATTTGGGGGCCATATGTCCCCAGGTAATGTGATGTCTCCAGGGCATTTGATATCCAGGTGATGTGATAACCAGTTGATCAGGTCTCCAGGTGACTTGATGACCAGGGGATAGGGTCTTAGGTGGTGAGGTCTCGAGGTGGCGTATATGCTGACCAGGTGATGGGGTCTCCAGGTATTTTGATGACCAGGGGATGAGATCTCCAGATGATGATCAGGGTCTATGGTCTTAAGTGGTGAGGTCTTGAGGTGGCGTATATGCTGACCAGGTGGTGGGGTCTCCAGGTGGTGTAATAAGCAGGCAATGGCATCCTCCGGTGATGTCATGACTAAGTGATGGGATCTTTAGTTGATGAAGTCTTCAGATGATGTGCTGACTAGGTGATGGGGTCTTCAGATGATGTGCTGACTAGGTGATGGGGTCTTCAGATGATGTGCTGACTAGGTGATGGGGTCTTCAGGTGATGTGCTGACTAGGTGATGGGGTCTTCAGGTGGTGTGATCTCTCTGCATAGAGTGTGACTGTGTGCTGTGGTTACCAGCTCTCAAATATGTCCCTTCTCAGCAGTGGGACTCCTTTCACTCACAGCACCGTCGTCAGGATCACTTCGTCTCGACTGGTCTTCACTTTGATCTGTTGACCATGGACCCGTCTGGAGTCATTGCATCAGCCCAGCCCCCCTGTAACTGAGTAGTGGAGGCACAGAGATGTCAAGTACTGTCCTGGTCACGGGTGACCACCTTATCGTCTTAGTTGTACGTGGGAGGGGGGGCATTGCCCTGTTGACCCAATCTCCCATCCCCACCCTTGGTGACATTCAGTGCCACTTCAGCCTGTCTCCTGAGGGCAAATGGAGACAAGAACCCATCGCAGCCCCAGGTTTCCCAGGCGAAGCAGGAAAAGGAAGAATGATGGGGCAAAGGTCGGGACCCTAGAAATGAGCCTTCACCACCAGGCAGTTGTCGCCTGGGGGCAGCTGATGGCTCAGCTCATGGCCCCCAACTCCCCACAGTTGGTGGAGACCAGTTCCCTCTCAGATAGGGGCAGGACGAATCTGGGAACCCCACCTGCCACCTACCCACCCCCCTCACCACCACCACCACCAACGCCATACTTAGTTATAGGCTTGAGTGAGGCCCTGGCCTGGCTCAAACCTGATCGGGCTGGTCCCTCAGAAGTAGGGTCTCCCTCCTCATTCCCTGACACACCCCCACACTGGTCTCATAACCAGTGCCCTGGCTTTTGGCCCTCTGTATTTTGGGCTCCCCCCTCCCTGTACCTCACCCTGAGACCACAGGTGCAGCCTACCTTCATCTTCAGCTTCCTCCCCTGGGCCAACCACACCCTGCCCCTCGCACACACCCAGTGTTGGGCCGCCGCTTTCTCTGCTGCCTTCTCCCCTAACACCCTCACCCCCTCCTCCCACCGATGCTGATTGTCACCTCAGACCAAGTCTGGGGCGCTGCTCTGTGAAGCATTTCTTGACCACTTCCCTCCTTGCCCCCAGCACTGTGGACAGGGTCCCTTGGAGCGCTGAAGACGTGTTCGAGGACCCTTGGTTCCCTTCTCCCTGTCACAGTCTGTTCCTGCACCAGTGTGTGCCTGGCGCCTGGATCAGGGTGCAGGGCTGGGAACACAGCGGCTGTCTGATGTGGAGTGTGTGCTGGACTAAACGGGACCCCTCCCCACTGCTCCCTCCTCATCCCAACCCCTCCACATTAATTCAGACACCCTCAGGGAGCCTGTGCACTGGGATAAGGACTCAACCATGGTGCTGCTCTAGGACGAGGGGCTACCCCTGGCTGAGATGACAGTCCTGGAAGGCTGCCTGGAGAAGGTGGGGCCAGGGTTGCAGCCTGTAGTAGAAATAGGACACAGCTGGGTCCTGGGGACCTCTGGGTTGCAGGCCTAGTGTAGAGGGCCTGGGAATGATGGCAGTTGGCGAGGTGGGGTGGCACAGACAGCAGGCGCTCTTGGCAGGGGGCAGAGGGGTGGACTGATGGGTCATAACAGAAGGGCTGCAGGGCGGGGCCAGGCTTGACCTGGGGGGGCTTGGCACCAGTCCTTTCCAGAGGTCTTGACCCCTCGGGCTGAGCTACAGCAGCCTGGCCCCAGAGAAGGAAGGGCCTGGGAAACGAGGCACAAGCCAGAACCTTCTGGGATTCAGACCACAGCTGGGGATGCCCATGAAAGGCATTGCAGGTGCTGGGAGGACATGTGGGGGGACTACCAGGCCCCTCACCCTGGCCCACTTGGCCACCTCACACAGCCTAGAACCACACCAAACCTTCAGCCGTGTGGGGCTGGGCCAGACCCCTGCCTTTACCTCTGTCTTTGGAACCTGGGGAACAGGGCCAGAAGCATCCATCCTT